TTTTTTTAAACTCAATACAGTCATGGCATGTCTACAAGGAATCCCAGATATATCCCAATACCTACAGGTGCATTTTCTATCTTCCAAATATACAATATAAGTATTTCTGTCTGAATTGACTTTATTTGTACTATTCATGTAATCCTCAACTTCAAAACCACCTCCACCAGGCCATAGGACTTTGCATTTCTTGCTACTTTCCCTATTCCGTACAATCTTAATCCAAATCTTAGGCCCAAATTCTCCCACAAACTTAGCAAATCCAAACTCTCTCCTAACAACAGTTCTTGCTGCACACATAGCTCTCATTTCTTGATTCATAGAAATTATTGCCTTGTGTCGTGCATCAACAAGTAAGGCATTGAACACCTCACACATGTTATTATCGACCACATATGACTTAATTTCGGCTTTGAAAAAAGCTCTGCTCTAGTGCTTGGGATCCACATTCATTATGTCATCCCTTGTTGCAGGCTTCAATTTGCCTAACTCTGTTAAGGCTGCATTAAATTCTGCCTCATTCAGTGCCTTCACACATCTCCAAAATAAGGCTTGCAATTCCTTCCCTTTGTGTTTCTTCTTGAAGTTGGCATATCTATGCCTAGCACAATGTTTGTGTTCTGCATTTGGAAAAAGGGCTGCAACGACATTTATCAACCCCTGCATTTAACCAAGACATTATCAACTATAACCATAATAAAAAAATTACAATACATTATCAGATCAGGGACCAAGAAACTGCAACAATAAAAGGTTGGCGAACCAAAAAAGTGCAATAACAAAAGTTTAGGGACCAATAAACTGCAGTAATAATAATTAAGGGATAAAAAAAGTGCATATAAACTTATTCCATGCACACCATGCACACCATGCACACCATGCACGTATGACAGTATAACTGAAACTTGAAAAGTACACTAAATTATATATATAAATGAAAATAAAGTATATTATACCTTTTGTTGGTTAGATATTATAGCATAACAATCACCATCTCCTATTTGCAAATCATATTTAAGTTCTTCCAAAAACCACAACCAACTTTCTTCCTTTTCAACTTCCACTATACCCCATGCAATTGGGTACATTTGGTCATTCGCATCTCTACCGACAGCAGTAAGTAATTCCCCTTTGTGTGGTCCTTTGAGAAAAGCTCCATCTAAACCAATGACTCTCCTACATCCAGCAATAAATCCTTTTTTCATTGCACTAAAACACACATACATCCTCAAGAAAATAGGGTTCAGTTCAGGTAGTGGCCTTGGTGCATAAATCGAAACAGTGGCTCCTGGATCTCTTTTTCTCAGTTCTGCAGCATAGTCAAAAAGCTTGTTGTATTCCAATGAATGATCCCCTTCGAAAGTCTTTCTCAGCCTCCTTTTAATAATCCTACACTGGACTTGAGTCAACTCCACGTTCAACTCATCCCATATTTCAGTAAAAATATCATCACTTTTCAAATAAACAGCAGTAAAACCCTTAGTCTTCAATAAATGGTTCATTGCAAATGTTGAATTACATCTCCGATTGGTCAATCCCCATTCACATGTGTGTTCACTGTTAAATGTCTTGACCATCCATGTCTCAGTTGGCTTATCCCACGCTAACAAAATCTTCCAGTCACAATGCCTTTCATTACAAATAGCCTTGCTGTTAAATGTCTTAACCATCCATGTCTCAGTTGGCTTATCCCACGCTAACAAAATCTTCCAGTCACAGTGCCTTTCATTACAAATGGCTCTGTGTCTCTTCTTATCATTCTTGACCCACTTGATTTGCCTCATTTGCATAATGCTCAATTTATCCACAGCTTTTTTAAACTCAGCTTTGTTTAGAAAAACCATGCCTAACTCAATCTGTACATTGCCATCATCTGTTCCTCGGAAAACTTTGTGCTTACTCTTCCTTCTCCTAGCGTGTTCAACTTCACTTCCATCCTCTTCACTTGTTGAAATGTAGCTGATATCCTCATCTGAGCTTAATGAATCCTCAAGACCAAGATCATTGTGACCAGTTGAAGATGAGGGAATTTCATGACTAGTTCCTGCAGGCAAAGCATATATGTTACTATGTATTCCATTAACTCATTAACTCATTAACGAACTAAAAAAAGTAAAAGTTGATGAGATACTTGTTGATGGTTGATTACGACCATACTTAACACCTTTCCTAGCATTTTTTGATCTCGAAGTTGCCTCATGCAAAGACTTCATTTTCTTTCTCGCCTCAACAGTTTCCTCATCTTCATTATCACTCAATTCAGATATATATGGAAGAAAATCATCTTCATCCTCAGAATGTTCATTGTCTTCATTACCATCATTACCAACATCCTCAACTCTGCCTTCAACCTCAACCGCATGACCAGCATCCTCAACTCTGCCTTCCACATCAACCGCATGACTAGCATCCTCAACTCTGCCTTCCACATCAACCGCATGACTAGCATCCTCAACTCTACCTTCCACATCAACATGATCATTTTCTACTCTCCCCTCAACCTCAACAAGATTGTCGGCAACCATACCCTTATCACTCGGGGCTGGTAATGGTAAGATAGGTATAATTTCAGCAAAATTCGGGACATGAGACACATAAATATGTACCTTTTTCTCCACCTTCAACACCCCCAAAACATCCCTAATGTCATGATCATTCCTAATAGGTTTCAAACCATCTGTAATTGTTTTTCTTGGTTCTAAATACCATATTTGGTCAACCATATCAGCATCATATCTAGCAATACCAATCTTAGTATAAAGTTCAAACAGTGTAAATTTATCCCTATTAATAATCCAGTCATCACATTCACCATCAACATATGAAATTGAATTACCAGCTCCCTGTATAAACCTCCCACCCAAATGAATGAAAATTGGTACAAATTTGGTTTCTGCCTCATTTCCTGAATCATGCTCACCCTAATAAATAAAGCAAACAAACAAAATAAATTACTCAATATAGATCTGGTTTGGACGCGAGTCAACACAGCAGACAGCAAAAAACCAGTAGCGTTGAAAGCAAAAATTTAAGACAATTTTACTCAATAAAGAAATTATTATTAAACCCAAAAGCAAATGGGAAAGACATAAACGACACAAACTTCCTGTTTAAGTGGGGACCTAATGTCCTTTTCTCCTCGAATAGTCATGCAGTTCAACATGCATCAAAATTTTTGCATCACTTTTATCAGACAAGGGTCCATGTCAGTATAAAAAAGTACCCTCTGAATCAGTTAGACAACAATAGAAAAAAGGAGAAGGAAACCCATATCGATACCTCGTCTTCTAGAATCTCTTCGCTTGGTTCCAGGTCGACATCAACAATTTCGGGGTCATTGGGGTCCATCGATCCTGCTTTCGAGTGACTTTTCAACAATCGCAACTTCGATTCCCTTGGCAAATCCTTGGAATCCCAGCAAATCTAGGGTTTGAGTTCAAACTTTGAAGGAGAATCGAAGAATCGAACAAGGAAGATAAGATAAACTCTGAGAAAATCTCTACAATCCCAAAGAGGAGAATCGAAAGTGCAGTGAAAAATCTATGTAGAAGTTATTAGGTTTTTTTTCCTCCCGAAAGAGCAAGCCAAAAGACATCTCTGCAATCCCAGGGTTTATCGTGTGTTTATTGGAGCTTCAGCAAGCAACGTGGGGCCCATTTCAGTGGATTGGTGCCTTTGGCTCGCGAGAACATTACATGGCAACACGTTTCGTTCATATCAGCACTTTTTAAAATTTTGCTCTCCACGTCATAAAAAAAATTATAAAAAATGCCACATGGCGAACTTAACGGTCCAAATTGACAGAAGGACTAACGGAGTGCATTTCTTGGAGTTGAGGGATCAAAAAAGTGCAAAAAATTGTTAAGGAACCAAAAATGTTCATTTCTTAAAGTTGAGGGATCAAATTTAGCATTTAACCAAAGAAGAAATATTTATTCTGCAAGCCAGGCTCCTCTTTCCGATGGAAAGTCCTCAAAATCCACATGGACGAATTTTGGGGCAGGCCCAATGGATTTGACAGTCAGGCTTATTCTCCTAAGGCCCAATAAATACTTTTTAGCCCATCCATGAAGCACTTTCAATTTCCCTCCTCTTATATTGAAGAAGGGTAAATATTCAATTTCGTCCACAACTTTAGAAAGGGATTTCACTTGAGTCTAAAATCTTTTTTTCTTTTATCTCAATTCACGTACATTCGAATTATCTGATGCTGCATCTTCGTATGTCGTTCCTTCTTCCCCACCTATGTGCTATGTGCCACTGATGTTTCACTATCTTTCGTTAAATTCATTCTTTGGAAGGGGAACCCTCCATGAAGTCAGCATATGTTGAGCCTTAAGAATACTACTCAAAGCCTCAGTTAAATTCAAATGCAACTAAGACAGCTTAATTGGCATCTTTTACTATAGTTTACTGTTTTAGTTTACGAAGCATGTGATACTGTTCTTTTCGTAAGGATTACAGTAGACAAAGATCCATATGTTTAGGAAAAATTGTTTTTCCTTTCACAAAGTTG